TTAGTATAGAATTTTGTATTTTATTTTTATTTTTATTAGCTTATATTTTGTACCTGCGTATTTAAACCTTATTGTTCAAAAATTATGGTAATAAAAACAAAATGATAACACTACGTACTTATTGAATACAATAYTAAGATTATCCATATTAATATAACATATTAAATAGAAAGGTCAATTAAAATGTACTGAGGTAATAATAAGTTCTTATTTCTTACATAATTGAATCGTAAATAAGCGATTATCGTAATATTATATGTAATGATAAAGATGAGTGATTATGGTATACAATGTTTGTGCTGTTCTATGGTAAGGATATATATATATATATATATAAATTAAATTAAAGCCAAGAAGTTTAGTATTTACTTACTACGAATATGTACCTACTTAGAAAAAAATTAAAGATCCAACATTTTTTGAAGACCTATGTTTAATTTAATACAAGACAATGTTTTGAACAATGTAATAAAATAATTTGTGCAGAAATTTATTCTCACCCACCAATAGGAAAAGCTAACAAAAATTATTTACTTTACTGTTAAATTTATAAAAATTGCTTGTTCAATATCCTGATAACAAGGATGACTTTTTAGTGCAATTTTTAGTTACTAAACTCATAAAAGTTGATAATATTAAAATCTTTTTGTATCCTATACAGCGAAATATGAGCAAAAACACGTTTCGGAAATGGCAGTCGACAATGACACGTTTGAAAATATATTCTCTTATAGGTATGTACAAGGTTAGGTACAACAAAGGCAATATCATGATTTGTACCGAAATGTTAATGAAACGTTTTGATTTAATTCTACGATGGAAATAGTATGTTTTTGAATAAAAGTATATTCTCAAACTTGTTTCAACCTATATAATATTATATATAGAACAAAATGTATGTTTATTTTTTAGTTTCCCCGGTTTCTCGTCATTTTTATAGCACGGAAATGCTTTGCATAATCTGATTTCGAAAAAATTGGGAACTGTTKTAATCAATTAGAATGTATTATTCTCATTTTTACTAAAAGATTCACAACTTTAATAGTATTTTAATATATTATCATCGACCATATAAAAGAGGAGTAGTACGATAATATAATTAAACAATAAAAGTATCATAAAAGTATATTACGTGTGAATAGTGGATGACTTACTTGGAGTCGYGTCGGCGCTGAACTGAACCGAAAATCACGGATCACTTGTTTCCGGAAACCGGACTCGGTGGATGTGCACAATAAACACTGGCAGTTGTTCCTAAGCCACACGTGAGGGTATCGGATTTGGCATCCACAACCGTCGTCTAGCCGGATTTCACGGTGTTGGTCGCCGCCGAACGAATCGGTCGCTGACCACCGCCGGACAGAGCCACCGTTCATGTTGGTTACCCGCTACTAAAGATTTCGATTACCACAGCGTTAACCACGTGTACTCGGTGGTCAGGACTGGGACAGGTATGCGAGGCTTTGTAGTGCAGCTTTTTCACGGCAAACACGGCAGCAGCAGTAATTTATTATTTTGTGGATGTTTTATTTCTACGACAAAACGAAAACAGTTCGCCAGACGATACGAGTGACAGCATGCGTGCCCGCTTGCACAGACTAAACTGTCGGGGGGAACGCCTCGGATAGAACCGGACACGCCGATCGTGTTCGCACGTCGTTCGACGGATATCGCGGGCTTTGTCGTGTGTGGCACGTGATTGGAGTGGGGCCAACCGAATCGGCCGTCTGCTACACGGTATGGCATCGTGCCCGATCCGTTCGAGGTTTACATCGTAGACGGCGGCGCGGCTGTGACAAATTAGGAATATYATTTTAGTAGTAGTTACTTCCTATGAAATGAGAAATTACATGGGTTATAGTTAAAATGGATGATTGCAAGGGTTAAGTTAATCTATCGGCGTATGCCCCCTCCCTTGCCAGTGGTTTGCGTTTTGAGACGGTAAGCTACTAAAGTGATTTTGATAAAAATTGTAGAGATTATTTTTAATAACACTAGGAGAGCAGAAGAACTTAGAGAATACAYTTAGACATATCCAATAATAATAGGGGACTCTGGTCAATTTTATTTTTTATATTTTTGATGATTACACACCATGTAAACTAAAAATTATAGTAAGTGCCGAATTTTAAAATTATTAATCTTCACAGACGGTGTTAAACCTAGTACTTATAACGATTAACTCTTSAAGTCATTATACCTAAACCGAAACTAGAAACACATCAAGTGTTGTATCTTGTATCTAATCTACCACTGCAGGCTGACACCTCACTTCGGTCAGGCGTGTCTACAAAGTGAGTTCATAAACGTGCTCACGGGGTGAGCTACTTAAACGTGAGCTTGACCGGACATTTTCTAGAGAAATCATAATATGTATACATTGAGTTATAGTGCGTATATTATCTTTATATATTATTAAAACGTAGTAAGGCGATTTCTTGTGACAGTTATATC